AAGTAGTATTTGTCATCTTGAAGGAGCTGAGTAGTAATCTCGGTTTTCAGCTGATTGAACTCAGTGTTTAGGTGTCAACAAACTCTAAGAGCAAAGTTTTTAAATCGTGGCAGCAGTCCTTCTTCTGTCCCAAGCACTTGAAGCCGAACCAGTTCTTCAGATACCAGCGGTCCGAAGACGTTCTTTGCCTGCACCCTGCACGCATCAGCCCAGCAAGTCCTGTGCCACAGCACAGCCCTTCCAGCCGGGGTCGGATCCCGGGCACGGGTCTGACTCTGGCTGCTCACTTCTGTGCCATCAGCGCGTACCTTGATGACGAGCAGTAAATACGCAGCATGTAATGCTGAACTCATGTTGCATCAGTGTCAGAACTGGGACTATTATAAGTAGGGCTACCCTCCAAATCTCCATTTAAATGAAAACAAAGGGGAATTTTATGCTAGTGTTTAACTAGAAGAAAACTGTCCAACTGGTGGCTGTACAACTGTTAATTATCTCGTCTCTGAACTACTCCTGTCGTGCCTCCTCGTGCCCTGAAGGCACAGCCCCACGAGCCATTGCTAAAATCGGAGTGATGCAACTGGGCTTTGCAAGTTTGCAAGCCCAAGCTAAAATTAGCACCTACCCCCGTCGTTCCTAAAAGGAGCCACGAAATCAGCTGTGACCCAAGATTGCTACAGGAAGCATTTTCCTTAGCCGCACCTTATGAGCAATGTGCCTCATTCGTGTTAGGAAACTGCAGCAAAAGATGATGCACGATGAGAATTAGCACGTCTTTCAAGCGGTAGAAAGTGTCCTACAAACCCAAGGTGAAATAGGCCACTGGTTTTACAAGGCACTTAACGAAACAACTACTGATGAAAAGCCATTCAATCCAAGCCTGGAGACCTTTGAAGTTTTAGTTGTTCTCAGTCCACTTAAATGTCCTTCTTCACCCTGGCACTTCTCCCTCATGCAGTTTCCACCAGGAATCTGGCTTGCTCAGTCAGCCCCCCCCTTCACTGTCTGTTGTGCAGAACACATAAATATTTTTTTAAAAGGTAGCATTTGGAGCCAGGGGCAATAAAACAAATACAGGTTCAGCTGAAGGCCACTTGCCCCAAACTTTTATTTGACTCTTGTGAGCAAGACTTCCCTGATCATAGCTCCTGGAGGCCAATCATCCAAGTATTTATCACTATTTTCTAGGCTGCAGTTCTTCCACTTCAAGACAATACCTTCTCTTGCTCCTCATGTCTCAACAAGTCTCCTCTATGGAACAATTCCATGCCTTTAAAACTAGTCTGGTCTCTTACAGAACAAAATTTTCTCTAGCTACAAGAGCAGGTATTAGAGTATTCACTGAATTTTGATGTGCTGCTCTTAACAGCATGCCGCTTTGTAAACAGCGAGCATCAGGCTTTATGCAGTCAGTGGCAGAATCTTTACCAACAGAACTGCCCAAGCTTGCTCTCTGCAGATCCTAGCCAGGCTCCGTAAAAGGAAGGTTTCATTGCACCTGAGTCTCTATTAGGGTTTGTTTTCTGAAACTGTAGGTGACAGATGTTGTAGCTTCCATAAGCTTCATCTGTACCAAGATACGGGATAATGTGGGGAACCACAGCCAGCTTACTAATAGCATCTCTCTCCCGCTAGACTAGAGTGCCCACCCTTATAGAATAATTTTCATCTTCTCACCCTGAAATGTTTTGCAAACCCTTCTAAAATGTGATTACTGAGTTTAGGGGAAGGGTAAAGACTGCTTGATTTATACTTGTTTTTCTCTTTATTCCAGCTAACGCGGTGGGCCAGACTGTGCAGCAAGCAGTGGAACAGGCTAAGGATGCTGGTCAGAAAGGTACGCTCACGATTCTGTGTGTTTCAATAATGTCACATCGGTGAACTCCCAGATAGGTTCCCCAACCCTGCCTTGCCCCTTGTCCCGCACGGGGAGGGAAAGGTATTGCCGTGATGCTATGGTTACCTTTGTTTTTTTCTGTTTTTAAAGCTCTTGATGAAGTCTACAAAGTTGCTGAAACCGGTGAAAAAGCTGTAAAAAATGTAGCGAATCAAGCAACTTCATGGGGCAAAAGCTTTGGACAATGAAGATAAAAATGTAACAAACACCACTGAAATTTTTGTAAACAAGTTTCTACTACATGTACTCTTAAATAAAGAAAATACTTCCACTCTATCTGTCTTGTGTGTATTCCTTAGGAATGCTTTGGTTACACATATTAAAAACCATTTACAATCACTGGTCTAGAAAGACTGGATTACTTTACAGAGCAGAGAGCTAAAGCTCTGTTATGCTATTAATGCAAACATGCTCTTTTTTATGAGCTAAGGGATGGCTTGGAGTGGGCACAACGTAAAGCCAAAGACTCGACATTTGTCTCTCTCCCATTTTGTCACTGAGTGTAAGTTGTGATCCCATGTGTGCAAGCAGCACAAGCTGAGCACCTAACCAGCCGTTACAAGGTAAGCACCTGTGCGCTTCTGTGACTCTGCTCATACTTCTGGTCTTATCTGTAAAACTGCAGCTAGATACTGTGCCGACGAAGATTCAGGTGTGTTTAGGTATACATAACCACTGTAAAAGAGCACTGAGATACTCAAACTAACGCTAACAGCAGAAGGCGGCATCGCTGCCAGCAGAGCACTCGGCTCCCCACTGAACTGCCTGGCCCTGCCTGAGCTGGATCGTTGGTACAACTTCCGCAGCTCTGCACAGCACAGTATTATGTGTAATGCCGCACGCAGTGTGGAGGGAAGAAGTGTTTTGCTGTTGGAATGAGTAAGGAATCTGATATTAGTAACTGGTGAGTCTAACAGAGTAATTTAAAGGTCACATACTTGGCATCTTGAAATCACAGCAAGAATTATCATTGCGCCAGCCCTTCCTCCTGACGGTGACAGTTGCCATCAATGAAAATGGATGTAGGTCTGAGTTCTTCACAGGAATGAAAAATGATTGTTCTACTTGCTCTTCTGTATAGTAGAGAGATGTTTTTAGTAGCTTGCAGGCAGCACGTATGCCAAACCATTGTAGTAGTGATCCTTATGAAATTCACTTGCAGCTTCAGAGTACTTCCTGAGCCACTATTACACACAAACCACCTACATAATCAGCACTTAATACTGCATGAGAGATTACAAATACCTACTATGGTAAGGATGTGTCTTGCTCTGCGTAGTAAGTGTATTTCAGAGCAGGTTCAAATCTGTGCTGAAATCTACCTTCAGGTACTGACTGGCTCCATGCCAAACAAACTACCATGTTTCCTGGTGAATGTGTAGTGGTGTGTAAGTGAATAGCAGTGGTGACAATGTTGGTAGCTAGAAGATAAAACTTGTGTGTATGTAAGGAGGGGAGCAATCCCCAAGAACTGTGGTCTAACACCTAATTGCAGTTACAGTAAAAAGAACAATACCAAACCCCAGGTTATACATATAACCTACATCCCAGAGCGTGATTGCTTTTTGCAGCTGTGGCTAGGGGCTGGGGAAAGGCTAGAGCTGCTTTGCACCCCAGCCTCTAAAACCACATTAACTCACAGCAACTGTGTAAAATTTTACCACTTTCTTGTTGCTGTTGCCAGGTCTTGAGAGGTAGGTGCTGCAAAATGTGGTAAGGAATGTGCAATTTTACTTTTTTTTAACTGTCTGATCACATTGGAACCAAGTTCAGCAATGCTCAGCACCCGTGTAGCCTTAATGTACAAGACTATTTCAGAACAGGCTATCCATCACAGGAAGTGTGGATTCACTGATAGCGTGGATCCTGCATTTAGCTACAAGCAAAGGGCAAATCAGCTGATGTGCTGTAATCTTAAGTCAGACTCCAAGTATCGATCTCCTCAAGAATCTCAATTATTTGATAAAAAGTACCCTAAGTTCTCCCTGCACCAGCTTTTGGACATGTTCAGATTCATGTCTCAGAGGTCTCCAACGCTGCCCGTGTTAACAAGAGGGCAGTAACTGTTGCAATCAAGTTGGCTGAGGAGAAATCCAGTTAACCTTCAGGGCTCATCTCTGGTAAAATCATACCTGGTGGTAGGTCTGCTTTCTTTCATGATGTCCTGGGAAAAGAAGTGTTAATGTATGGGTGTACAAGAATCTAAGATGTTAATGAACTGGGGAATTGTGCAGCTCTTGGCTTTTTTTCCGCTCAAACTGAGTAGGATGCAGAAGAGAGCCCAGTCAGCTATCTATGCCAGCCTTCCATATGCTCCAACACTGAAAGGGCCCCATTTTTTGAGTTTGCACAGCCAAATTAGAGGTGCTTCCTGAGCTGGAGAGGAAATGGGGGGCGGGGAGGGAGAACAATAGTAAATTAGCCATGTCTCTTCACTACTCTTGCACTTTGCTTTCAACAACTTTGCTGCTAGATAATGCAACTCAGCTTTTAAGATACTTTCTCCTGTCAATAATACAACTATATTTGTTAGGTTTTTAGCATCAGAGTTTTGGTAGGTTACAATTTCTCAGAGTTGAACTGTAACAATTCATAAATGTTTACATAAAAACTGCACTGAAAAGTATGATCCAACATACAGATCTTGTGTTTAGAGATCTGTACCTTGATGACAGTAATTCCTTCATGCTCAAAGGATTCTCATCTTTTAAAAAAATAAATGCCAGTATATACACACACACACTGCACTTAAGTGATGTGAAGTACTTTTATAACCCTGGATATCAGCATATAGGATGGAGTAAGCCACTAGTTAAATGCATCACACAGGTTTATTGCTCAGTGCTAACTATCAGAATAGTTCTTCACACATATTTGAGAGGACACAGTAAAGACCTGAAATGATTTACCAAATATATTCAACTTCAAAAATCTTGTTGACAGGCAAGTTCAAGAGACCGAGACCCACAGGATAACTCAGAGACAGTATCTTAGCAGTAGGCATGTAATGAATAAAAAAAGTGTGCTGTGAAGAGTCACAGACTGATTGTAACTAGGGAAAGCTACTCAATGAAATAGAAAACAGTAATACACCAGCATAGTAGGTTTGGAAAGGTCAATTTTTTTTAATATCTGCTCTTCTCTCCAGGTTATGTCATGCAGTTACAAAGTAGTTAGAAAAAAAGCATGAGTTTCTGGGAGGGACTAAGTTGTCTTTTAAAAAAAACATTCATATTCATTACATAAATAACATCTGGCACTTCAAGGGGACTCCACTGGACAAAAGCCTTACACTTTGAAAACTGTGCTTGATCCAATATTGTGTTGAGGTCCATTTTGTTGTATTCTAGTATGTTCAAAACTTTCACGACCTTCTGATGGGGAACTAAAAAGAAAAAAGGCTGTGTGTGTTAAGACAGTGGATTAAGTTTATAGCAGCATTCTAGCTCCTCTGTAGTTTGGCCAATGATTTCTAGATTCAGTTTCACTTTAGTTGTTCACTGAGGCAGTATCTAATTCTCAAAAAGCCTCTGAAATGAAAAGACTGAAAAAGCATTCCAAAAAACCTAAGTATGATTGCTTACCAAATTCCTTTTTTCTAAAAAAAGGAAACAACCTATAATTATGTAGATACTTGATTAAAAATGTAACTAGAGTTGCTTGATAGTTTCAGCTTACAAAAATATTAGTCTGTCACCTCTACATACTTCATGGTGATAGTCAAGCTAGCTTGAAAAAGCAATAAAAGGCAGTCCTGTAACAGCAGCACAGTTAAAGAAAAAAACATTGCCTAAGAGAATCAGGCCTGAAGCTTTACTACAAATAAAAATTAGACTCCTATCAAAGTTAATCCCTGCTGGAGGCCCGTTCTTCCTTTGACAATGCCACAGCATTGATCATACAAGGCCTAACTGAAAGTGCCAAAGCCAAAATTACATCATTAAACAAAAGTGCATGAAGTAATAATGAGCTATGTGCTCATCTAGTACAGTATCTGATCTGAAGTCTGAGAAGTGGCTCAGGTGGCAAGACCACTCTTTCATACATAAAATGTACCATTTTTGTTTTGTAGGCAAAATACCCAGAATGGCCCCCACAAGTGCAGATGAACTGTTATCTTCAGATGTATACTTGTATACAATTTCCTAATCCATGGATTTTTATTGTTAAAAAAAAGACTAGTTTGGACTGAAACTAATTGAGAATAGAATCCACTATAATGTCAGAAGAAAAGAAAATTTTGTGGTTACATGTAAACTTGTGATAAGCTTTCTCAAGAAGAGGGTAGGTACATTAACGGCGAGAGGGATGGGATACAGTAAGGAGCGGTAATGCCTGTTTATGTAAAGGTCAGGCCGGCCTCATTGTACACTTTGAAGACTTTCTCAATTGCATTGACATAGGCAGCTGTTCTCAGGTCCAGGCCCAGGTTGTACTTCATGGCAGTACGCATGATTTGCTGAAATAGAAAAGGTTATATGTGATTTCTGCAAGTTTCTCCCTAAGAATGACACTAGATTTCCCTTGGAGGATCCAAGTTAGGAGTGTAAGAGCTGCTAGACTGGTATTAGAGCTCCAATCCTTTGGGGATCAATTCTGAAAATTCTTGATCCTGAGATCTTAAAGGGAAGAAAATCTCTCAGATTACTACAGTGTCCCTTTCCAGGTCTTGGATCCGTGTGTACCTCAGATACAGGGAGTGACAAGATGTCTCAAGTAGTCTTTGCCCCACTAACTAAAAATACTGCACAGAGGGATTAATCTAAAACTGCTGACGGTAAAGTAAAGCACTCCTAGGTATGCGTCCCAGATTAGTCAGGTACAAGAGGACAACTAAAAAGTATCTAATTACTACAGCTTCTACTTGAAAATACTTCCTGACTAATACTTTCATGTATTAGTCTCTGATGTTTACTATACCCAGTGAAAGCTAGCCACCCTGGCACAGAGGAGAAATACCTCTTACTCACAGTGACCTCCATTATCATGAACTGTTTCTCTACTCCTTTAATTGCAAAGAAATTCTGTACAACCCATTCAAAAACTGTCACAAAGTCATGTAAGTTTTTTCCTATAAGTATATTTACTAATGCAATACTTACTCGGGCAGAACGCTCCATTGTGTAAGCCAACCCAGAGTGGACAATGTCCTTCTCAGATGCACCCTGCAAGAACAGGGAACAAAATCAGTGTGTAATCCAAAACACAAAAAGGTACTAGTCCTGTATTATGGACAATGACATGTTGGATTCCCATAATTACTCAACCTTGCTCGCTCATTTTCTTCTAATGACTGGTGTAAGAATGTAAATTGCCTTTACTGTGTTACTTGAAGAGCTAATTATGGTCAATTCAATTCTAAAACCTCAGACGTAAGCACTGAAGACTTTTATATGCCTAGCTTCTAGATGCATGATGCTAGCAATTTTTATGGATGTTGTAACTACTGTTTTCAGTCTTCAGAACACACAGTAAATGTTAAAACATAAAAGCTCCCAAGAGTTAATAACCCATAGAAGCTACTTGCAATCGTTTTGAACACGGTCAGGTTTTACGAAGGGCATGGATCTCCAATTCGTATACTCAACATTGTATTAGCCCTAAGCAATACAATAACTTTGTTCCCATTAAAGTTTAAATACATCGAAAAATAAATAATTGAAGATAGCCTGAATTAGTATGATTGAATATTAGTTTCAATATTCCATTATCCTGACTGCTGTAACTTACTAATAATTTGAGACCTGGCTTCACAAAATACATGCTTTCCCTCAAATACCAATTCGGGCTGGATGTAGAAATTACTAGGCCAGTTTCTATGGCTTGAGTTTAAGAGATCACAGCAATTGCTTTAAGCCACAGAACTTATCTATCATGCTATTCAGTCAGCCTAACATTGATGAAAATCCTAGCATCGTACTGGATCATGCTAAAGTCTATTTCTATCATCTGACAGTGGCCCATGTTTACATGCCTTTCCCCTGATTTGTTCCTGAGGAAGCATGGTTTAACGTTTTTCACAACTCTCTGGATTTTTCCCCCCAATCATTTGTCCCATCTCCTCCTGCGCTTGTGTTTAGAAACCAAACTGACCAAGCCTTTTAGCTTCCATACATCTCTTGGCAGAGTATTATGCATCTTAACTGTTTGCTGTGCTAGGAACCATCCCCATTCTTCATTCTGCACCTCACTCTGCTGGTTTTGTTCGAACGTATCTCCTTCTCTTTCACCCTCCCTTCCAGTGAACAATCTATCCTTACCCATCCATTTTCACACCACTCAGTCTATAGGTTACTGTCTTCACCTCAGTGTTCAGGCCAATAGGACCTAGGTTAGTTCATTGTTCCATGTATGAAAAGCTTCCGTATCTCTTGATTATTCTTGTGATCTTGCTCTGAACTTCTTCCACATCTACAATGTTTCAAGATACAGAGACCTAACCTGCATGCAGTATTCAGAAGGTAGACACACTCTGGACTTACTTTGTGGCATTATTAGTCAGTCCTAATCTTTTCCCTTCAGAACAACTTTTAACACTGTATTTGCTTTATGATTCCTATGGATTTCTAAGCTTATATTTTGTCATTACCTCCAGATCTTTCATTTGAATGCAAATGGACAATCTCACTAGTCATCATTTTATATGAAACTTTCCTCACCATGTATTGCTACACATTAGATAACAATGAATTTTACCTGACATTTATTTGCCCATTAATTTAGTCTTAGAGGAACATTCTATAATTTTTCACCCACCTCTTGTCTACATTAGCCTGCTGTTACAGAAACGGTGTACGGAACTGTCTGTGGTGTGGGACCTTGTTGAAAGTTGTTTGGATACCTAGGCAAACTATATCAACAATATCTCCAAAATAAATTCTGGTAATGTTTGAGGCAGTATTTCCCACTACAAGAGCTCCATAGTCTTTGATAGCTAGGGTTCAAAGAAATTATGGAATCTATGTATTTATCAGGTTAGCCAGCAGAAATATCAAGCGTTTCATAGCAAACAAAAGTATTAGGAAAAACATAGGTTTCTAAGCTCTCCTTACTGGCCTACAAAAAGAATCATTCCCTGCCTCTTACCTGGTAAAAAAACCCAAACCCTCACATGGTTTGTCTAAATAATGGAGATAGTCTGTTGCTCTGAAAAACTCCAGTATATGAACAGCAACATGTAATCTAACGCTAGTTACAAATATAAAATGCATCTGTATTAAAACTGTAGCTTTTTAACAATATTGAAGGCATTTTTCAAGGGCTCAAATAAAAGAAAGAAAAAATAGTTTACTTCCAGTATTCCTAAGCCGTTCAGATCATTTGCTTTATTTGTTTGGTCATAGGCTAAGTATGACTAATGCCGTGCTTGGGGCAAAAACCTCTGTAACAGCTACAAGGGTAAAATTTATATTGCAGTTATAATACCAGAATACCGTTACAGTAACTACTACTTACTGATATCCTATCTTGAAATTCTGCTGTAGGCACAACGGGAATAGTCCCACCATGTTTCCCAAATTTTCTTTCCAAGCTTTCCTGGACAGACACTAGAAAGGAAAAAAAGCAGAGGCAAGGTAACCGACAAGGAAAGCAATGTGCTCCCCAAAAAGGGAGCTGACCCCAGGACTTTGAGCATTCAATGGCATGAAATGCAGACTATGGGATTGGGGCAAAAAAAATTTTTGTTTTCTAAGAAAAGATGTTACTTTTTCTGTTTCTATAAGTGAATGTCTCCAATATTAGTAGTAATATTGCTATAGTGTAGTCACATGGCAAGCAACTCTGGATTTACTGCTCCCACTTTGCTAACCTCATAAAGTTGATAGAGAAATCTGGATTGACTTTCGTAACTTGATAGATAGCATTAGACAAAATATTTCTTGACATTAAAGCAATCAATTGTCTCCTATTGCACTCTGCATACACACTGTTTGCTAAGAAAAAAGCCCATGTGGAATTTTAAGTTTTTCCTTACTACATGAGAAGTGCTTTGGTATTTTGAATTGATACTTATTTCATCTTAGTTCTTGAAATTTAATTAGTAAGGTTTCCTAAACAACATCATGGAGTATCTCAGACGACACAATACTGAAGTTAAGAAAGGGATTTACATTAGAATTGCCATAACCCTCAACCACTTTAGAAACACATTAAAAGGTATCATTTATGAGAAAAGGTATTACTAAAAAACAGGTCTATGTTCAGGTCTATGTTTTGTCAAATCCAATGTCCCAACATTCCCAGATGTTTTCTAAAAAATATTGTTTAAAATGGAGCAATACCCTGCAGTTGTTCTCCATTAAGCTTCCTGTCTCCATGTAATCGGTATTCTGGCCCATAAACTGGGAAGCACAGAATGACCCTAAGTGGAGCTGTAGGCCATAAGCAGATTTTTACAGTGCCTGTACTAACTATATTATTGCCCTTTATAGAAATCCTCTATTACTGTATGTGCACAACAACGTTACCCACTCAAATTTTGATTACTTCTCAAATACCAAGTGCACAGCTGAAAGATGTTTATTAAGAAGTAATAAATATTTCAGGTAAATGGCTTGAGTTCAGTATTTTCACAACACTGAGGAGAGTATCCCTTTAGGAATTAAAAGATAACTAAAAAAAATATGCATTTAACTTATCTGAGTTGCAAGTCAGTTAATCTATCAAATCTTCCCTACTCTTCAGTATGCAGCAATAATAGACTTGTGGGAAATTGAGGTGAATTTAAAATAGTTGTGTATTCATTTCTCCCACATTTGGTGTTTGCTAGTTCAATCTATTAAACAATGAGTGAAAGTGGAACTGAGCACTTACTGAGCAAGTGGTAGTTTGAATCCCTTTCATACTTAAAAGTCAAGCGGCCATAGCTGACATGGTTCAAGTTTTTCAGCCACTCAAAATAGGATACTGTTACACCACCAGCATTCAGGTAAAGATCCTGCACAGAAATAGTAAATGTCTTGAATTGTGACCATATGACAATGACAGCTCTATTGCATTAAGGAAAAGAAAGCAGAAATATTATGTGCAAAGTATTAAACTGCAGTGTAGAAGACAATCCGATTGTTATTCTTACATGACAGCACTTATCCCCTTCTGCAGTCCAGGGATTACTTCTGATTTAAAACAGGACTTGACTTTAGAACATGTGAAGTTCAGGTGTGCTTGACTGACTACTTTATTTTAGCAGAAGTTTTTAATCAAGAAAATTAGGGCTTTCTTAGGCCATCTCAGTGAGATGGCTGAAGATCAACCACTCTTTCTATCAATATCACTTGATGAGAACACCCTTTCTCTGGGAACAGGTTATCATTATACCTGGATACGTCTTATTCTTTCAAGTTATCGCTCTAGGCAAGATTTACTCTATACAATCTACACTACACAGTTCTGTCAGAGCATCACCCAGCGACATGATGTTTGCAAACAAATTGGCCAGTGTATTTACTCTGCCTTCTTCCCTTGCTTAGTGGACTATTTAGTTGAGCAAATGTCAGCTAATACTCCAAAACGCAAAACTACATATTTAAGAACTAATTGTGGATTGTTCTCTCTATGAAATATGCAGCCTTCATGCAATAGCTATCTTTGGTCATTTACAGTTGCAGTGAGATCTTTAATTATTACCAATCTTAAGCAACACTGACACCCATTTCCTAGACATCAGTTGTTAAAAAACACTTTTAAGAGAACAAATAGCTATTAATAAAAATCTTCAATAAATAACATCTTGCTACAATTCACATAAATATTACCCTTGTAATGAAAATCAAAGGTCATAATAGAACCTTACAGGTATAACCATGATATTCCGCTCCAAAAAGATTTTGTCAGCTTCAGGAGTCGTAGGCCCATTGGCACCTTCAGCAATAATCTGAAAGGAATCACAGCAGAGTAAGTCAGAGGTGTATGTTTGTTTCTGTCCGTGATAATTATTGAATATTAGTATTTAAATAGGCCTTCTCTATTTTTCATTTGCATTTGAACTCTACAACTTACTTTTGCTTTAACCTTGTGAGCATTGGCCTTAGTCAACTGCTTCTCGCTGGCAGCAGGGATGAGAATGTCACAGTCTGTTTCCAGAATACTGCCCTCAAGTGTCTGTGCTTTAGGGAAGCCCATAATTGTCCCGTGTTGCTGTTTGAAGGAAACAAATCAGAGTGGTTTTAGTGTGTGTGTACTTGTATGACTGCTTTCCCTTCTTCTAACTTTCAAAAAAGAAAGCAGGGAAAAGCAACAGTACTAGAAAGACAGCACACAACATAATTGCCATCTTCACTTAGATTAGGCATAAAAAGCAAGCTACAAAGCTTGGAGAACAGTCAAAATTCCTATGATTTAGACATAACTGCTCTCTGGCCAAAGACATTGATAACCATCTGCGCTCTGGAGTATTAAAAAAAATAAATTGTCTCTCTCAACTCCTAAAATACATGGCAAGTGCAATAGTTTTCAAACAACTGAAATGACCCACCAGTCTGTTACATGCAGGGTAACTTGCATCACATAAGATTTAGAAGTACCATTTTAAAATTCAGTACAATGATAGCCTTTGTTTAGTGAGAGAATCTTTTCATTCTTTTGATAAAGGGGGTGATAAAGACATTTGAATACTCCCTTTATAAAATGACACATTAAATAAGCTCCTTAGAAACTCTAAGTAGAAGATTGTATTTTAGTGCCTGTGAACTGTTCCCTCAAGACTGCTTCACTTGGAAACTGAAATAAAAAGACCATATCCAGTTTTCATTATAAACTACATATTGAAGTCACACTGCCAGACAGGCTTTCATTTTTTTGAAAACACACAAGAGGTAAGAAGCAGCAAAAGTGCACTTTGAAGTCTTAAATGTCCACATGTTTGTGATCCTCAGCCAGGAATCCTTCAGGAACCTTCCTGTCCTGTTTCCTTGAGACATCGTTCCTAGTTTAGTCATAAGAAATGCAAAATAATTATGAACTCCAATGCTGAAATCAAAGTAATTAGCTTGCGTACATGCAAGCCCTTGCCATTTTTATGAGAGTCAGGTCAAAGACTTAAAAAATACCACCTGCATTCCTATTGGGGATAAGGAGAAAGCCAGAAGAGTCAACATTCTTAAGCCATTTTGTAAGTACTAATTGCAGTATGATCTAAATATCACAAATTAACACCAGTCTACAATCATCCTATGTGGTTGCAAAAGCTGACAAAAATGAAACTATTTCTGCTCAGCTAAGTTTCATACCAATTTGTAATCTTCTAGTTCCTTTGGATCAATCCCATCAGGATTCCAGATAGAACCATTAAACTCTCCAACAGCAACGCACTTTGCTCCAAAACGATGCAAGTATCTCATAGAATGCAAGCCCACGTTACCAAATCCCTGAAGGCAGAAAGAGAAAGGGAAAAGTAGTTAACCCTTCAACTAAAATGATTATTACTGCTAAGGCTTACATAGCTTTGAATAGCTTTAAGTAGTAGTTCATCTATTGGCATGTCTTGGCATTAGATGATGTGTACAGGAAAGATGGAAGAAATCCACATGCATTCTGGTCTGAATACCACTCTCAAAATTCTGCATTGTAGACAGCAGTGTACAGTTGTGCTAAGTTTTTTATACTGGAAAGAGAGAAGGGAAGTGTTAATGCTACTATGAAAGTGTCAAAACTATGATGTTTATCAACATGAGAATGTTATGTGTATGTATTTTGTAACTGGCACTGTCTTAGAGGGATTCATCGATTTTTGTATGACCATTCTAAGGTTTGACTAACATTTGCAGGCCAGGAATATTTTCATTTAATTTGGGTAAGGAAGGCTTACAAGTGTAAAACCACTCTAGAATGGAAAGCATTAAACAAGAATATAATTAATTCTTCACATAAAAATATACAAACTAGTAAGAAGCTATGTAATTTTTAATACATTTCTAAAGTGGTCCTGTACAAAACAGACTGCCTATAATTTAAATTTAGATAATCTTGCAGTTCTTTAGCATGTTTTACATGCCTACAGGTATAGAAAACCTAATTCCAGGCCATTATTCAACATTTTGGAAGTAAACACACATGTCAGACCAAAAGGTCACAGGATCCATGTCAAAAGTTTGTAGTAAGATTCTGTGCCAGGAAAAAAGTTGAATATTAAATTTCTGTATAACGCAGCTCCAATTATATTTAGGATTTTTGTTTATATATTAGAAGGAAACTTCAATACAACAGTTTGTTATGCACTAGGTTTCTTCACAATACTGTATCCTTGTTTTCATAAAGGAATCTTCAGCTATTCCTTTGGCCATGTTTTTCAGTCTAAGTTATGCTTAAGTGCTTGTTGGTTAGACCTCTGCCAGCATGAAAATGCCAAAGTGCAGGGAGAGGAGTGTGCTGCTGGGTCCGTGCAGGGTACAGATGTTTGTTTCAGCCCACTGGTTAACTAGAGGACAACTTGGAGGTTACAATTACTCTGCTGTTTGTAACCACCAATGCATTGGTACTAGAAACAACAAAACAAAGCAATCCCTCAAATCCTCCATTTCACATACTGTTCAAAACTGAACAGAACCAGTTCTTTCTTCAAAATTTTAAGAATAACGCATATTACTGAATACCAAACCCCTTCAAAATTCAACTACATAAATCCTGAAGTCTCGTGAACACCAAAAACGTACATTCAACCCCACAAATTTAGGGTAAGGTCTCAGTTTCCACTTTTCCAACTGCTCATTCCATAGTGGAAGAACAACATAGCCCCCAATTCCTTCTCTCCCTAAATTTTTTTTATTATAAAACAGTGCAACAAATTTTGTGTAGGCAGAAACAGTGTCACAGCTCACTGAAAAGTGTGCAATGCCTTTAAGAACTTCTGCAATAGTATTTCACTTTGTTCTTTGCAGCCTATGTTTATAAAGACTGGAGATTCAGCTTTGTGCTTGTAGAGTGCAATCGAAAGTTCAGTTTTTAAAAAACAGTCCAAAAAATAAAGGGCACTTATGTTGCTTGAAAAGTGTTTCTAAAGTTTGAGAGTAAAGGTTAACTTAGAAGTCATAAAATCCTAACAGGATTTATTGCTACAGCCCTTTTTAAAAGCAGCTCTACTGGAAGTTTGTTTACTACTTTTTCCCTGCAGTTGAAGGAAAAAAGTTACCTGAACAGCAAATGTTTTATCCCCAAATCCAGGAGTCATTCCCAATATACTCATATATGATGCTTCATTGATGAAATTTTCAATTCCATGGAAGAGACCACGACCAGTTGCAGATATACGCCCGTGGATCCCACCCTGGCTGATGGGTTTACCAGTCACACATGCATGTGCATTAATATCCTGTAAAACAGTGAAGGACTTGTGAGCTATGGAATTAATCAAAGAACAGCTGGAACAAGAGGTTTTGTACACTTTAAAGATAAAGGAAAACAGGAATCGTGAGAGTCAGAAAATTATATACTTTATATACATTTAGTCTGTAAAGATTATTTCCTTCCTGAGCTTGTGTGAACAGCATCTCAGAAGTACTCTAGCAGATGATGGAAAAGTTGTGTGATGCAGTATTGGATACGGTCTGTAATTTTTTTATTGCATTTAAGTGTATACGTGAACTGTTAGCAAAGAGCAGACCTTTGACAAATCAAAAAGCTTTGAGAGATGTGTTTCTCAAAATTAGCTCCTATTACTGCCATAATTTCCATTATTGTTCTTGACATTTTAATCTTTTAAAGGGCTCAGATGTATCCTTGGACTGGTCATAGCTAAAGCTGTTTAATCATCTTTAAATGGTGTTTAGTGTTCCTTTACACCAAATTCAGTTATTTAGAAACAACAATACAGGCCTAATACCTTCCTGTTGTCAGAACACAGTGATGTTTGATCTCAGAGAAAAATCTACAGTACAAAGGTCATATGGGAAAAGTTAGGTAAGCATTTACTACTTTTATTCAGAAAAACAGTAGATACAATCAAGCCTCTATCATTAATTTGGTGGTAATAAAATTAAGTTTTCCATATGCTAGACAGTTAGCCAAGATAAAATAGACTATTTTAAAACAAAGCTGTTTTTTTTCAAATTGAAATTAATAACTTGAAAAAATTTCTTCTAAACTAGACACTGTTTGGGCCTCCCTCTTCTGTCACCTCTGGTTCCCATGCTCCCTACACCCGAGGAGCACAGTCACACAGTGGCTTGGCATCCAACACAAGTGCAAGAGTAGGGATGAAAGGGAATCCACTGAAATGAGTCTGCCAGCAGCCGGATGGGTTTCTATTCCACCAGCCACATATTCACCGGGAGGCTCCCCCCTCTCCATCACTTGTGCCAAACATATTTGCATGCCTGTGGTGTGACTGCAAGATGCTTGGGGAGAAGGAAGGAAAGGAGCAGACAAAAGTAAGTGGAGGCAGAATGGCAGGAGACAATTAGAGCTGTAATAGAAACAAAAACTACTTATTATTTGAAAATGACAGTGAGTTAACCATATTAAGCCAAAGATAACCCTTCTTTAAAAACACTAAAAGTGATGCTGGGCTTGCCACAACATTCCTAATTCAGTTTCACAAAATATAGCTGCATTGGTCGCATTAAGCTGTATGCTCCCTCTGGTGGCATCTCGACTATAAACAAGATCTGTGATGGTGTTTTGCCAGGAACAACTTGCCCTCGCGTTTTGATGTATTTTTAAGCTTTCATTGTGTTTCAGATTGAAACTACATTTTAGCCTTCATGCATTCATGGAGGAAGAAGTATGTTTTATAAATACTTAAAGAAATACAGCCTCCCACAATCCACAGAATGTACTTATTTAAGTCCTTTCACATGTCCCAAAAGTCAGTTGGGTGCATCAGGAAGTACAGAAGAGTGGAAAGGATAAATTTAATCAAAAACTTTAGCCATATATAATTCAGTGATCTAGCAACTTAAGATGGATTTTCTGGAACAGTTAACATGGTAGTTATTAAAGACTTGCATGGTTTAGCAAGAAAACAGAGCATGGGGTGAGGGCAGGTCTGGGTCTTCTTGAAGTCACATATACAAACCACAGTCAATGTCAAAGTCCTAAAAACTTTGTTTTTAAATCAATCAAAAAAATGTTTAACACATCTTGGGCCAAAAAGAAAAGCAGGGCTTTTAACAAGCAGCTTGTAAAATGGCTTATGGCTAGCATTAAAGACTTCTGTATTAGTACTAATAGTATAGGAATTTAGCTGGTGAAGTTCAGACACTGAACTTTTGCTCATTTCTTAACCCCTTTCCATACTGCAATAATTTTCTCCTTGTCTCTCCAGCATCCTGGCTCTGTACATTAGGTTTTGAGCAGACTTCCCCTATCTGTTGGTACCTGTTATTTGACTTTTCCTTCCCACTTCAAACTCCCTGAACGCGTATGTGCAACCACGCTGACTCATCAGGTTTGTAGATTTCTCAGATCCCTCTAACCTAAGAGTTATCTTTCCACTCAATTGAATGTAATCCCTCGCATAGCTTCCATCTGTTTTCCGAATTAGGGTTTCACTTTTGTTCAATGGTCATTTTCTGCTCTCAGTTCCCTTCCCTCCTTCCCCTATGGCCACTTTTATATATTCAGTAGTTCCTTAATCACCTTTATTTTTGTTCTTGGTGTCTCAACCAGATAGTTATCTGAAACACCTTCCTCTACAAACTGGTCTTGATAGATTATTCCACTTTTTGCAGCCTTGCCAGAGTTCCCACCTTTCTTCTCTACGCTTGGTCATTCTCCACAATAGCTCATAAGTTCCACTACGGCTACCATTCTCTCTTCCACGTACAAAGAAGCAATCGAACAAAATTAAGTAAACCAATCTAATTTTTCCTTATTTCAATTCTTTAATTCACTCTGCCTTGTGTGACAGTTGTAATATAGTAACGCTGTTGTATCACGGTGAAATACATGTTTTATTGCAATGAGTTAAATGTTAAAACCTAAAATGCTTTGAGGCAGTAGTTTTCTTAAATGCTGGAATTTTAAGTTATGACTGGGGGAGCAAGTTGCCACTCTGCATGTGGAAGTCTTTCTGAAGTCATAATTTTGGCTTTTTATTAAGTTTAAAGTTTTAAATAAAAAATATACATTTACATATGTGAATAACAAAAAGCAAGTAATGTTTTACACTGATACCCCTATCTAACAGACTGTTCTGTGTAAAAGTGATTTAAGTCAACTGATCAGCATGCCACAGCCTATTCCTCCAACATTCCTTTCCCTCCCCCATAAAATACCTTGTACTGTATTTCAGATCAAGAATAACCTGTGCCATCCCCTTCTCTTATTATTAAAGGCATCAGACAGCACAAGACAAGTATTCTGCCAAGAGACTGCCTCAGGAAAGCCAGGCTATGTCTTGAACAGACATGCCAGAGAGAAATATGTATTGGTGGCTGTAATGCCTTATTACTGGGGGTGTACACCCTGCTCTATTTCTGAGGAACTATTACAAGGGACTGCAGAAAGTGAAAAGAAAGAATCTTTTCAATTCAAAAGGAGCTGGGATAGGCAAACATACGATAGCTTAGCATATTAATACACTAATACAACGCTATGACAAGACTCCTTAGCAAAGTATAGCCTGTGGGAGTAGCAGAAACAACATCTGAAAGAAAAGCTAGAACACTTGGGTAGCATAGACAGTAGAGCCTTAAGAAATAAGTTGTCCATAATACTTTTTTTTTTTTTTGTTCAACCTGTCGAAGGTATACAGCAAAAGTGTTTGGTCAACAATGATGTTTTTGGTACAGTCAAAATAGGTACAAATAACCCAGAAACTGACATAAGGACAAAGGCTAAATTAAGGGCTATAATTAAACACTAATTTTTAAAAACCTAAACTTAATTTTTTATTGCCTTGTGGGCAATAAATTGTATCAGCATCCTCTTGCTTTACATTTTGGAGAATTTCCTGAAGTCTACACTGATTACTTGTTACTTGTTACACAGACAACTAATACTTTTACAGGTTATACCAACAGTGTGAAATAAACTTACATGGTCTTGAGTGCACAAAACCAGAGCATTTATTCAATAACATCTGTAAATTCAGTAGTTTGAAATGGAAAGATTTCAGTACTTTATACCAACTGCTATGAACTAATTGTTTAACAACTTTAAATTAGTAATTATAGTACTAATGCAAAACAGAGGGAAACGGTAGAAATAGAAACCAATTCTACGCTAAGTATGAGACCTTTAAAAACAGTGTATTTTCTTTTTGCTGAACAGTGCAATCAGTATTGTATCAGACAAACTTAATTTAAAGCCAGTATAAAAACATTAACCTTAAAGTTAAGTTTACTTAACCTTAACTGTACCCTAAAAACCTCACACTGATTAAGTTGTTACAGTTTGAAAGAATATATTTAGATCCACATAATTAAAAAACATTACACGATTAAGCAGCATGGTAATAAATTTCTAGACAAAAAAGATTTCTGCAAAGACCAAGAAAGCTTTTCTACTTCAAGCCTCTGGTCAAAACTTACATAGTGTCCTATGGTACTGGCATAGGTGTCAGCAATCCAGGACATCTCCCTCTCCCCTGTGCTCATATCAGGAGCAGGCACGTCAACACCAGGTCCTGTTGGCAACAGTGAAAAAAGCTCTTAAGCTTAAGATAACATGAACAGTTATCTTCAACCATTATTCCCTTGGGAACTGTGCAGGGCTTGGCAGAGAAGAACCTTTTTCCTGTTTAATCCTCAGTTTATTATGCAAGGAACAAATTCTTCTGGATTGGGTTCAGTTTTAGATGCCGTATCACACATTTTTACAATACTGTCAAAACCTCCAACCGTTCGCACAAGCCATTCAGTAAAATGAAGATCAGTTTGTCAATAAAAAATCAGAGTAAGATAATGCAATAAAGCATATTTATATTCTTATGGTTTTGATGATCATTGCTGTAACAACTGGAAGGGCGCTATCTAGGTATGATTTTTATATACCATGATGTTAATTCACTTTTTTTTGCATTAGAATTTCCTTTTTGTTCCTGGGTGAGTTTAAAAATTGATGATAGGCTGTTCCTAGTCGTTGCATTGTAGCACATGCATTTGATTTTACCCCTCACTTCAAGAAAGAGACATCTTTCTTGATGAAATAACCTTTGAAAGAACTTTCATGCATCTGTTGCAATAAAAGCAAATTCTGTCTGTTTTTTCTAGATAACTAAAAATAGCATTTGGCTAACCTATTTAAAATCAGAGGGACTTGCTCAGCAAGATTTTAAACGCAGCTCTGCCTCTACCTTTTTTCTAAGTATTTTTAAAAGGTTTGTGAAAACTGCATAGTGCTAACCATAGAGCCAAAAAGGAGAACAAATTGAATCAAACCATTTTAATTGTCACTGAACTAACAATCACTATAGCTGGCATAGCGTATAGTATTACCTTAGTCACATATAACATCAATAAGTGTGTTTATGCAGAAGCTTAATTTAGATGAGAAACACTCTAGCTGAAGAGCAAGAAAACGCAGATAAATGGATATATGTTCCCAGGGGCAGTCAGACATCAGGAATACATGACACACCTTTAACTAGTTACATGCCTCATTATTCACTTGAATAAGAACCTCCTCCAGGTAAACCTCCTCCATTTAATTACAAGTCAAGCTAGTAACATTCAGCTTTCTCCAGAGGAGACTTCCAGATAGCAACTCCAGACCATTCAGGGTTCAAAGTCTGTATGAAACACCTACTAACATTACAGAAGCTGAGGTTCTGTTACAACAGGCACCTATGCTTCTTGCCTATGCTTCTCTTGCAGCCTGTGGTTGCCATGGGTGAAGCCATCAACTTTCTCTGGGGTGGATCTTCTATTTCCTTCCTCTGTTTCCTCAGATATCTGCCAAAAGCCTCAACTGAGACTACAGGAAATAGTAACAGTGAAGAGCTTGATATTAGAGATTAAAATTGCAACAAACTTGGTCACAATTTTATAATCTACCTCTAAGAGAAATGTGATTCATTCTGGATCCTGTGAGCTCAGCTTTTGTGGTTTATCATAGCAGAACAGCCACCAGAAAAAAGTTAAGACACAGTTCCCTTTAAAATGCACTAAGACGCAATGACTTAATTCTCTGTGGCTCTTTGCTGAAAGTTCTATACCCAAATTATTTACAGCTCTCAAAAATATGGTTATTTAAGGATACTTTATAGTGGACACTGCCAATGCACAATAAATCAGATCCCTAAATTTTAATAGTAAAATTGCACAACATACCAATAAAGCCCTTTTTTGCCAGCTCCATGGTAAACCTTCTTGTGATCTTTTCCAACTCATTGTCCTATAAACAAAACGCAATAAATATCACAAGAAATCATTAGTGTTTATGAATATTTGCTAGAACTTATGCCCAAACATAAACAGATGCCCTTTTCTTTTACAAGAAAGGATGATTCATATATTTATATAATTTATATGCCACTCCCTAACAGACCCTTAGTATTCAGGCAGCACAAGGAAACATTTGGCTTTCTTTCCATACATTCTGATGCACAAGAAGTGAGGAGTGTGGCACAGGAAGAACCACCTGTGCTTGTAGCAGAGATTTCCAGCAAATAAATCTGATACCCTATGTAAGAGATTTATAACCAGCAAGAGCTGCCTGCCGGTTGCATAATCAACGCAGTAGAACGACTTCACACAAATCCTTACAGGAGTCTTGAGCTTAGAATATCTGTTATGTATTCTAGTATTCCTTTCTGTACAAGTTATTTTAATTAGGGCAAAAAGGTAAGCCTGCAGTAAACTTTTTATAAGCCAAGTTAGTTATTATTTACACTGGAACACTGCATAGAAAGGTTTAATGGAGCATAAAACTATTTGTCAAAATAAACAAAACCATTAACTTTTTTCTAAGAGTAATTTAATTTAAGCCTTTATTAACAGTACCAACTTAAAAAAAAATTCAGGTTCCAAATTATTTGTAGTCTTATGACTTTAAGAAAAAAAAGTAAGAAATTAATTAATTGAGGTATTACACCTCTGAAACACACACTTTTAAAAAATTCTTTTCCTACCTATTGCATGCACAAGCTAAATTCAGCCTTTACAGAGGCAGAAGTGGCAGGAAGTTTTAAGTGGTCAATAATGCCCTTAGAAGAGTTTTTTTAACTGGCTGGCTTCAGTACTGTAGGTAACCGAATTTTTAGCTATGATTAAGCTTACTGTGTAGTTCTTGGGATTGATCTTGACACCAGCCTTTGCCCCACCAAATGGCACATCTACAAGAATGCAAAGGAAAATCATTTTACTTTTTCACAATAAAGGCAGAATGCATCAGTAATATGTGTGAGGAATTATATCTTTGATTTTTAGCATTGAATTTGGTTTTGCCACATTTAGGGCTCTACAAGCGTAAGCTATAATCTCATCTAGGTACTTCTATGAAAATGGGAAATCTTTCAAGGGCAGCTTGAAAATGGTCTTTGAAACTTAGAAGCTCATGATTTAAATTTTCTATGCTTCAAGCTCTCGTACTTGTAGAAACAATAAGTTTTATGTTCATATTTTACTGGTTTAGCTCAGAAATTTTACTTTGGAAGTCCTAAGTGAAGTGTGTCTATATAGATTAAGTAGTATTTTGTTTTCTTATACATAATGTGCAGATTCTCTCCAAACTCACCTACAGTTTAGCAGTCATGTATGAACTATACTTCTTTATGACCCATAAAGGAATTTTATCCTTCTCTCTCTACAGCAGCTCTGCCTGAATCCTTTACAGCCTCCATCTGTTCCCCCTAAAATTAGCCCCCTCCTAATCCAAGTTTTTCATACTTTGACTTGAGTTCAAGAGCAGTACTTTTACAGGAGGGGGTAACTAGGAGAATTTGGACTGTTCAAATGAAAAGGTAATTTTATTCAAGTATCTACAGTAACAGCAGAGGGAATATGTATTATTATTTTTCTCACAATGTATTTTTCCCATCTTGCTACAGATTTTAGTCAGAGATTAGTGTCTAAAACTTAATTCTTTAGATGCTTTTCTGTAAATTACATCAATACTGATTTAAATTAAAGATTTTATCTTTGCTTGAAAAGTTATCACTTACCAACCACAGCACATTTGTATGTCATTAGAGATGCTAAGGCTTTCACTTCATCCACACTAACATCCAAACTATAACGAATACCTGCAAAAGACACATGAGAAAAAAAAGGTATTCACTGAACAACTTCACAGGTATTTATAAATTGGGAAAGTTAATTCTAGACAAGCCATCTATAACATGCAGGTATGTAATTTATCAACTTATTTGCTTCAAGGCTTAAAGAACAATCCCCCATTTTCCTACTTAAATATCTATCTTTTACTTAGCAGAAATTCAAGAATTCAGCAATTCTCTATTAAGTAGTTTAACAGCAGCACTCAACTTTGGAACAGAAATGAGTATTCCTTGGAAGGAAGATGAGCCAAGCTGATAGGTAACTCCGAGTAGAGTTTTCAAGAAGCTGATAAAGCTTATCAGTATCCCGTAAGATCTTTTGCTCTGGACTTCATTCATTGTATATACAAGATGAACTTTACTCCTGAATGTAACTTAACAGTACAGGTTATAATCAAGATCTCTTTGTTAGAGTAATGCAAGCTCCTGTTAAGTGATGAGCCTTGCAATATGTTGGCTGTGGTCCAACAAAACCATATGTAGCTTCAGAGCTCTGGCTGCTAGGCACAGCCACATAACAGAAAGCAGCAAGCCACTCCACTAATTCAAATTCGTTCAAAACACTTTTATGGAATAACTCTACCCCTGCAAGCTTGTGTGACCAGGCCACCCATCCCGCACCCATGTGGAAGCCAGCCCACACCTGCATTCCTTGTTCTGAGTCATTCAGCTGAACTGCAAGTGTGTGCTGACACATGGTCCAGATGCAAATTCAAACTGTTGTGGTCTCCTGGTGGCTCAGATGCAAAATGGGTGATCCCAGCCATCAAGGCAGTTCAAAACTGAGTGGAAAATGATTACACAAAGTTAGGGAGATCTGTCACCTGCCTGACTCCTACCAGTCTTCTCAAAATGGATTGTAGTTGTCCAGTAAATTGATTGAACTCAAAATTAAAATTGACGTATTCTGGAGGTAGCTGCAGAGTAGAAAATATTTAATCAAACTGACAGGTCACATATGCAGAACTACAGGAGCCTAAACATGACATTTAAGATCAATATGGTGCCCAAAGTCATATGGCCACAGAAAAATAAACATCCCTACAGCTATATGTTAGCTTCTATCCAAGGTTCTCCTACATCATTGAGCATATAACAGAACCATGAAGAATTTATTATCCCCACCTCTACTCCCCTAATCCTTGGCTGTAGGTTGTGCCAAGTTGCACGGTGGTTTGTAGCAGGCACAGAGTGTCCTTTAGATGCTAGGACAAGGCATCACAAATTTCCTATTAAGTAAAGAGAAGACCATATTCAGGTCCTCAGGAGTGAAAAAAAGGCCAGCATACATTATCCAAACTAAAGCACTGTGTTGCTATGAAAGCCATTCCTGAATGCTCTGGAAACAATCCCAGTTTGAAATGAACTGAGTGCTGCTCAAATAAAGCTGAGGGCCAAGTGCTGCTTTCTTATGCGAGTTCAATCAGTTAAAGTACTATGCCTCTGCAGAACAGAATTTAAATTTAGTTTGTACATGGGGAAGGGTGGTCTCCAAAAGCAAACTAACTAGTTTCTGATGTAGGTAGCTGTAAGGTGTTAATGTCTGTGCTTTCAAGAACCTTCTCACATGAAGTAATATTTGAAATTTAAGTGGAATCTACCAGAGCCAAACAGACCAGTTGAAGTTACAACACATGTGGGTTTTTTAACATGTCTTACTCCGATCCTTCAGAGGAGCAGTTATCCTTCTGTCAAGCCCTGAGCAAGAACAAGCACCACCTACGGCACTGACTGTCCTGCCTAGGGACATCGTTCCCTCTTGGTTGAGCAGCTACTCTGGGGACAGGCCTCATCTGAGCATTGCTTAAGCCAGCCAAGTCTGAAGCCACAGCCTATGCTGGGCAAAAATGAACCCTGCCCTTCCACCCCCAGCCGAACTAGATCACTGTGTATTTATTCAACCCATATATTTACTCAAACTTCAAGTTGCATACACAAAGCAGTTTTGCTATAGCTATACTCCTGCAGGCACACAAAATGTTGTTTGTTGACATATGGAAAGCAGCAGGGGGACTAAATACTTAGGGATAGTTATTTTGTACAGTTTTAACAGGGAAACAAAATACAAAAGGAGAGAGCAGCCTCTTTCTGCACATCGTATGGAAGATGGGATCTGAGAAGGTGAACAAGCAGCAGTTTAACTAGAAGACTCAAACACATGCAAAGCAGTTACATCTCCAGGTTCCTTGTATTACAGTCAAGGGTTACTATAAAGTTTATAGTAAAGTTTACTGTAATAAATATTAAACTTTTTTACCAAGGGAACTAGGGAAAAAGCCTCAAGACTAACAAAGTACTGAAAGGCTTTCAGCTGAAATGTCTTTGTCACCCATGTACATAGACCAGAACAGGGAAAACTTTTAGACTTGAGACTGAAACTGTCCTTTTCTGGACAACTTCATATTTTTGACAAGATTTAGCTTCTTTTTAGCTTTTTAAATAGCTTTAATTGAAATGGCTTGTCTGCTGGCTTTATCTTCATAAGTGGGAGGCTAGTAAATTCTGAGAGTTGTGCTGACTTCACTAGCCTCTTTGCTTCAGCTTATCTGCTAAGAACTTTCATTACAGTGTCAGGCATCGTTCAGGGTGTGGATTCCAGGTTCCCTGACAGGCATGGCAACTTTTTGCTTCTGTGGCACGAGTGGATGACATTTAACATGCATTAATGTTTCATTCCTTTTCATAATTTGGCCAGTTACTGTTTTCCAGGAATTGTAATTACTCTACAGGAGGCCCATCTCTTGACAGGGAAGTTATTTGTGCTAAGCTGTTAGGACTGATGAGAAGCAGGCATCTGAGAATGCTGTACATTCCATCTGCAAGGGGATGCACAAAGATAAAAGACTTAATTTCTATTCTATTTGGACATCAGTGAAATTTATTTTGACAGCTTCCTAATTTGGCAGAAGGAGAGTACTGCCATGCATTTGTATGGTTCTTTTGGCAGTGTTACTATGCATTCAATAGCCTGAGTCTAAAAATGGACCATATACACAGAGAGAATACTGGGTTTGTTTTTTTAAAGATTCTTAATACGTAAGAAAATGAAAGTCACTGCTACGCAGCAAGATTATAATTTTTATAAACCCTGGCAAGTCCCACACAGTAAGTCTCTGGAAACTTATGACTTTTACAGCAAACTAGCTACAAAAAATAGTTTGAATAAAGCCTCAAGTTACAGTGTGACTCACTGCCATGGAAAATACTTTTCACTGGAAAACATACAAATTCTTGTTCTAGTTGAGAATTCTCTTCCTTTGCCACACCCCAAGAAGTGTGCTGAGAGACACTTTGTTTTTCTAAGCACAAGACCTATCAGATGAGGAAATGTTTTCATTTTAATTTTGTTTTATTACTGGTCAGTATAAAGAGAAGGTTTTATCATCACATTCAAGTGTCTTTGCTTTTAAAACTTCTTTTTTATGATCTGTATTTTGGAGATCTTATACTTCAGCCTGTTACCTCTTCCACTGAGCCCAATAATTGTTTTGATCAAAGTAAAATTTGCTCATGATTTAAGCTTAGCTTCTTTCACTTTTCCAAAATTGAGGTAGGAAAGCATTTAAAACACACTAGTATTTTGTTATATAAATGTCAAAGTAGTAATTATCAGCAAGATTGTATTTTGGATTCCATGATAATAGCAGTCAGTTACTATTTTAATCAGCAGGTTTGTACTAAGAAGTGTACTAACAGGCATGTAACAAAGATCTTGATTTCAGAGAAAACTGGCTATATATCCTACTAGATTTTATGTTGCACAGATTTCAGTATGTTCTGTGATGTTCAGTGTGTTTATTATGTTTCCTTAGGAAACATGGTATACAAACCCACCAACTTTCAAGGACAATTACTGCCTTTCTAGTATGCCTAAAAATCTACATTTAGGGAAGTTAGTGTAATTATTTCCTGATCTTCTAGTACACTGATCTTAAATGGTACTATTTGTGTATTCCCTCACCACTACCGACCATAAAGTATTCAAAAACAAGTCTCAAAACTAAACAGTTGCCATAGTAACAGTTCAGCGCAAAACACTTGGTAAACTACTCCTCCTGCACTAAACATCTTGCAAATCTTAGCAAGTCTCTCAAGTTCCCCACAACCTGGAACAGATTTGCATCTCAGCCTGAATCATTAATATGTAACCGAGGCTTTTGTCCTGCTTTGACTTCAGTGTTTTCTTCTAGATGTGATCATCTTTTGAACTTTGAAACTAATTTGGGTCCTTTACAGATGACAGTTCTTGTTAAGATGGTGCATTTGTTCTGCTCACCTCTATTTGCAAAATGCTTGCTCACCAGAACAAGCGTTTCAGGGCAGCAACTATCCTACGCTACCCATACAGCACTCAGCAAGACAGAGTTCATGATCTCCTTTGAAAGCTTTTAGGACTGACTACAGCCATATTAACCTCCCAATTAGCAACAGTGTATTCTGCAGTGGCTTTGTGGGTTAACAGCCCTGTCCACAGCTGATATTACATCCAGAGTCTAAAGGAGCTTCAGTAAAGATGTTCACCTTGTTCAAACTGTTCAGCTCCAGCATTTATTGCAATGCCTTAGTTCCTTAATGTTTTAACTCTGGATTATGTGTAACATTTTAATTTAGATGAAGTTTGGGAAGTTAGCAAGTGAGACTGTGATTATACTACTGTCAAACTCTATGTAATCATTGACAACAAACACAGTATAAACAGATCTTCCAAGCAATCCTTAGGCTCTTTCAGAACAAGTACATTTTTCTAAATCCAGAAAAACAATGCAGCCTTCCCTATAAGGAAACTGCTTAGCCTTATTTAACCATTTGGAAAGTGGGGTAAACAGCACAATGACAAATTTGTAATTATTGAAGATGAAGAAATTCCAGTCAAACCTAACAAAGCAAGATGAGTAATTCAGTGCTGAAAACAAGAACACTGTACGCCAATCAGCAATAAGAATTACTCATTCCTAAATTCAATTCACTAACTGCCAAGAGAGGAGATAAAAATATTTATCTCTTCCCACAAAGCATTAGCCAGCTATAACCTGGGGTGGGAAAGAGATTCCCCTATGGACACATCCCACCATTCTGATTTAACCACAAGTATCTATTTGGTGACCATTAAGGTACTCAACCAGACAGAATACTTCACTATACCACTTCTTGTACACTTTTAATAAGCTGTACTTATACTTGAAATATACTTAAACATATATGCATATGTTTATTTCATTCCATGCAGAGAAGAAAACCTGAGAATATTCTCTAGTAAAAAAAACCCTGTGGTGCATTAGTAAGATCCTGTGTTTCAAATGCAAATATGGTAAATTTAGCATATCACCTGGCATGCACATATCACCTGAACTTATGCTCTTAGAAATATGGTTATAAAGTAGAGTGTCACCTGTAGAACTACATCAACCCTACCTAAAGGATTAGGTTGTTCATTAAGCCACACTCAACACTGTAGTAACAAGGACTGACACAGAGAGATGCAGTAACACTACTTCCATGCAGATATTAATACCACATGCATGGCTGTGTGCAGAGGGCGGAAATAACACACGAGTTGGCCCTGATGAGTCCAAATGCCATAGGAGCCACAAAACAATAAGCCACCATAGTGCTGACATGAAGCAGGCAAATTCCACTCTCTGCCTAAGAGTTTACTTCCTGACAAGATGGAGTTGTTGCAGTTCATGCAACAAAGAATACCTGCTAGGATGACCCAGAGTGCAGGAGGGAGGCTATCACGCAAGAGATTCCCCTCCTCAGTCCCTCCAACATGTGTTTATCCAGAAAGCCCAATGCTGAGAGAGGTATGATCTCTCTATAAATAGACAAGGAGCCAACAGTAGCAAGGGAAAACAACTATTTAAGATCAAGGACAAAGCTGGCTACTGCACAAACACTATGAGCTGATTATATGAAAAAGCTGAGACTGAAAAGATTCATAGCCAGAAGAGCAAGGGCATTGGTTCCTGCAAGAGTATCAGAGGTAAAACCACAAAACTGGTACAGGTTCACTGAGAACTGCAATTAGTTTATTAAAGGACAGCAAAAGCACAGGACACTCATTCCTAGTCTTGTGGGTTTTTTTTCAATTTGCAATTTAAGTATATATCCGCTGCTGTACTAATTGTAAAGTTAGGTACACTACAATAAGAAAAGAGAAACCTATGAAAATAAGGCACTCATATAAGCTTTAGCTATAACACTGCAAGCATTACCACAGTTACGCTAATTACCTTTTTTCCTGTAAAACTCTCATATTCCTTTGAAGTTAGATCAGTTTCCATGGTTTATTTCAGGTTACAGATAGTCTATTTTACAGTTCCATCTGCTGCATGGTCCCTAGGGTACATTTCCGTGTCTTACCCTCTGAGACCCCTGGTCCAAAGACACAACCTCAGAACTTTCATCCATGCATGACTTAAAAAAGCAAAGCCACCAATACAACCCCAGGATAAAAAGAGCTCTGCTGAAGTGAAGATACTTTATAGCACTATTTCTCACTTTCCTCACTTACAAAAGGGAATAAACGATGTCACAGTAGCCAAGGCAACACGTAGGGTTGTTCTGGTCCAACTCTTGTATGTAAAGCTTTTTCTTTTGCAAGTAAGGTTACCATCATGATGTACATATACTGTTTCAGACAAGGTAATGTGTACAACAGCAGCTATTTGGTGACTGGGCACTGAGATATGCATCAGCCTTAGACCTCTGCAACTGGAAAACTGCAGCAATGATAGCACAAATAAATGT